TCTCAGCTATCTGGAATAAAAAAAAGTTTCCTGTGCAGTCCAAGAACTTATTGAATAATCTGTTCCCTGCTGTGTTAGTTTCCCAACATATGTCTGGTTAGTTGAAGTCCCCCATCACCAGCAAATTCAGTGTTTTGGATGATATTGTGAATTGTTTTTAAAAAGCCTGATATCCATAGGCTCTTGCATAGTCAGAGGGCACAGAGAAGCCTGTAGGATGATCAGTCTCTCTGGATTCAGTCAACAATCACTTCAGCCTCTCTTTAGGGGATTCTCCGGGGGTTCAGACTGTGTACTAGGAACACTAGTCAAGAGAAACTTAATAGATCCCAGTTCTGATCAAACTGACACATGTAAATCTGGAGTGGTGCCGTTGAAGTCACTTGTATTAAAATTGGAACCTGGGTCTGGGAATGTATCCCATGTGCTTGAAAGAGGTGATGACACAATTTGGACTCTCAGAAGTGGGGAAAATTATTAAAAAAGGAGACAATTTTTTTTTAAATAGCTTCAAGATAAATGCAATGACTAGCTTCACCATTCACTTTTCATTGCATAATTCAATAGTGGAAGGCCAGAAAGGGTCTCTGAGGGAAGGTCACAACTGTAAATCACACAGTGCTCAAGAAAACTGTGGAACACCCAGCCACATGATATCAAGGGGGTCAAGAGTTTAGCAGGATTCAAGGAGAAACTGGATGTTTAAGGGTAACCAGAAAAATCTAGTTACATTAGTTAGGACTGTTTTAGAAAGTTTTGAAAAGGCTTTAAACCCTCCTAATTAACACAATAGGTCTAATTAATGGCTGTCAAGGAAAAACATTATCTAGGAGGAGGTTTTCTCATATCTGGCTAGTACATGGCTCCTTGTGACTTCTTCTGAAGCACCTTGAACTGGCCACTGGATACTGAGATAGATGTACAACAGATCTGATCCAGTCTGTCCATGCTTGTTTTCTTATCTGCCGTGTAAATTAAATTCTTATCCTGGCCTTGGAGCTGCTGGGAATCCCCCAGTCTTGAATTCAGAGCAGATTGGTGTTGCATTAAATATCATCTCGTCTCCTGTTCTTTTTCCTTTCAGGAAGGAATGTTCAAAACTCCTCAGACCTACTGAGCACATGATGTCAGCTGTCAATGACACCAAATTCCAATCTGCCGTGTTCCTCCTCACCGGGCTACTTGGGCACGAAAATGTCCATCTCTGGATGTCTATCCCTTTCTGCATCATGTATTTCATTTCCATAGTAGGCAATTCAGTCATTCTGTTCATTATAAAAAGAGATCCAAGCCTTCATGAGCCCATGTACATTCTGCTATCCATGCTGGCTCTCACAGACATTGGCATATCAATAGGCACCATACCAACAACATTGGGTGTATTCTTGTTTAACTCTAGGGAAATCAACCTCCATGCTTGTTTTGCCCAGCTGTTCTTCATCCACACATTTACATTCATCGAATCCTCTGTGCTCTTCTTCATGGCTTGTGACCGCTTTGTTGCTATCAGATACCCGTTGAGATACACTTCCATTTTAACCCTGCCAAGAATAGCCAAGATGGGGCTGGTGTCTGTGCTAAGAGGGGTGGCAGTAGTATTCCCACTCCCCCTTCTCCTGAAGCGGTACCAATACTGTCAAGACAATGTCCTTTCCCATTCCTACTGCCTGCACCAGGAGGTCATGAAGTTGGCTTGTTCAGATATCAGAGTCAGCAGCTTCTATGGCTTGTTTGTTACAGTCTCCACAGTGGTGTTAGATTCACTGCTCATCCTGCTCTCCTATGTGATGATTCTCAAAACAGTGCTGAGCATCGCATCCCAAGCAGAGTGCCTCAGGGCCCTGAACACCTGCGTCTCCCACCTCTGTGCCGTCCTGCTCTTCTATGTACCAGGGATTGGCTTGTCTTTAATACAGAGATTTGGGAATAGCTCTTCTCCCCTGCTTCAGATTCTCATGGGCTACATCTACCTGCTGGTCCCACCCACGATGAACCCAATTGTATACAGTGTGAAAAGCAAACACCTCCGTGCGAGGATCATTAAGATGTTCATCAAGTGAAATGTCCATCTGCCAGCTGACCCCAGCACTGGTGAAATAAAAGATGAAAACCGAGCACTATGGTCACCTATTCCACACCATCCCCTTCCATCCAAGAAGACATGAGCTACTGATTTCCAATCTCTAGAGAGAGAGGTTCGGACAGGGTTGAAGACCTGGCAGAATGGGGGAGGGACTGGTGTAGAAGGACAGTGCACTAGGAGAAATTGATCAAAGCAGGCAGCAAAATTTACAAAGTGATTTTCTTTGTGGCGAGCCAGAGGACCGGCGGGAGGCTCGCCCATAAATACAATCAGTGGCTGTCTGACCTCGGTATTCCAGTTGATATTGCCCATAAAGAGAAGGGATGTGAGTGTTGTTTCCCATGACACCTGACCTGTGCAGTCACAGTCCTGGCCCTTCCTGAGCTCCCTGGGTGCTGTGTGACCCATGGGCCCTGCAGAAGAAGCTATTCAGGCAGCTCTCTCCCCGCTAACACACACACTGATGGCTCTGCACACAGCACACTTGCTGAGTTCACACCCCACCGAGGCAGAGCAGAGCTGTGTGTGTAGTTGAGGGTGTGACATGCAGGAGCCCTGGCAAGAGAGTCGGGCCCTGGGTCCCTTCTCTCACCTTCTATTAGTGCTGCCCCAACAGTGCAAAGAGGTGGAAATGGGCCTCGGCTCCCCCCACAGAGGCACCTTTAGCTTCTGTCCCGGCCCAGCCCATTCCATCTCTGCAAAAGGCAAAAGTGGGGCACAGGCAGGAGCCCTCTTCCCACTGTGGCCCCTCCCCTACCTCTCTACTTCCTCCTTCAGGCCCTACCTCTATTCCTTCTCTTCCCAGAACCCCCCTCACTCTGCCACATCTCTTTCCCTAGAACCGCTGTGAGGAGCCCCCAACGCTCTCCCTTCCCTGGACAGGGCACTGGGAGTACTTAAGGGAAGCCCCAACCTATGTCCCCACCCAACAGCACTTACAACCCAGGACAGTTGGAGCCATGATCACCTCAGCTCCTAGCATAGCTCTTACCACAGCCTAGCTCCAAGGCAGCTGGGAGTGGCATCCTCAAGGGAAAATGGAGGAAAAAGTGGCAGGGAGCTTCTAGGAAGAGATGGGGAGGGAGGGAGGGCGCTCCTGTGTAAAGAATGAGGATGGGGCTGGGTGGTAGCAGAGCCTGTGCTTTGGCAAAGACTGAATTAATGAGATCCCGAAAAGGGGGCTCTTATATATCCCAGGCTAAGAGTCTGTCATCACAGGGTCCTTAAAGGGAAGGGCGGGGTGCCTACAGAGCTATCTCACGCCCCAATGGGGCAGGCTGGGGTGACCGCTGTCTGCAGTGATGTGCCCAGAGTGTCCTGTACTCTTGGAAGCTATTAGTATCGTGCGGAGCTCAGCCCAACCCCCAGGCTGCTCCAAATGCCGACGAGGCAGGTGTTATATAAGAAGCCAAACCTAGGGCTGGAAGTTTCCACCTTTGGGGTACACAGCGTAGTAAAGCCTTGAATCCTGCAAACAGGGCTGGTCCGAGGTATTCTGGCTTCCCAGGCACGGGCACGTGGCGCCGCCCCTGGGTGCATAGCGCATGCGTGGGCCTGCCCGTAGGGAGAAGACCCGACCCCTAGGGTGTAGAGGCCCATCCCGGGGTGCACGGTGCATGAGCAGCCCGGCCACAGCCACTGGCATGCAGCCCAGGGCCCGCCCCCGGGGCGCATGGCACATGTGCGGCCCGGCTACAGCTGCTGGTGCACAGCCCAGGACCCACCCCTAGTGCGCACGGCACAAGTGCGGCCCAGTCCAGCCCAGCCTTGTAGGGCCCCATGGCCGTGGGGGGAAGGGAGTCGCTGACCGGCGCCACGGAGATGCGGGCGGGCCGGCACCGTGGGAGTCGGGCGCACGGAGTCTGATGGCAGCTGTAAGGGACGCTGCGCACCCCTTACAGCTGCCATCAGGCACCCCCCATCGGTTGGCGCCCTGGGCAGCTGCCCGGCTTGCCTATGCCACCATCTGGCCCTGCCTGCATATGCAAACACCAGATGGCCCTTATTGGCCGCAGCCCATGCAGCTGAGCTGGGAATATAGTGAGGAATAAATCACGTCAACCTCGATTTCAACTTCATGAGACTGCTGAGAGTGGCATGGGGCAAGTACACACACACCCAGTAAACAACCGTGATATAATTGGTGTGGGAGTCCCATGCCTGGTGAGTTTCACTAGGGACCTAGATCTTGGAGGGTGCCCTGGATTCCCCCTAGCTGGAGCCATGTTGACCATGGCCATTGAAGTAAAGATCAGGGATGGGACTTCACGCAGTAGAAGGGACGTAAGCATTCCAAGTGACTTTTACTCTCATATGCATTGCTCTGTAGCGCTTGCTGACTAATAAAATGGACGATCCCTAATTGGCTCTGTGTTGAAGCGAATCCATAATCCTGTTCATCCGTGACCCTGAGAGTTCACAGCAGGGAGAGACCAAGCCAGTGAACCAAACCTCTTCAACAGACGCCTGGCTCCCTGCTCTCCACAGCGCAGGGGGGAGCGTTGCTGGTGCATCAGGGAGTCCAGCCAGGATGGATTCTCAGATGGCTGGAAAGCTGGTGTTGCACTGGCTGGCTGTGAGCCTCTGCACAGGTGAGCAATAGTCTTGCCCTGGTTACTTGGGCATCTTGGTAGGTTACTTGGGCATCCCTCCTTCTCAGTCTCCCCTCTGTCACATTCCTGTGAAGATGAGCTTGGAAAGGACAGAATTAGCTACACCTCGTGGAGAATTAGCTATGGCCAAGCAGAGCAAAGCGCAGCCAGCAGTTGGCAGGCTCTGACTGGTGAGCAGGCCGGAGCAATGAGGGAATCTTTGAGGCCCAGGCTGTGCCACAGTGGGGCAGTGGTCCAGGCCTATATCCTGTTTTGAGGGCAGAGCAGCTAGGAAGTGTATGAACTGTGGGGCCAGTAAGGGCAGAGCAGCAAAGTGAAGGGTAGGTGCTGGCCCGCACTCAAGGCAGCTAGGATAAGCATTCTAGCGGCCTACCAACAAGGTCTAGGGGTGAGAGTGTGCAGGAATGGGGCCCAAGGAGCACAGGCCCCCTGGCCTAATGAGGGTGATCAGGGCCACTGCTGGAGAGGGGTGGCAGGAGGGATGTGGACCTTCCCACTCCACCCCAGCCAACAGCACTAATGCAGTTGGAGTGGCCCACCACTGAATCTGTAGGTGGCAACCTCAACAGCTCCTTGGGTAAAAACCCACCAGTCCTATTTTGAACTTGTCCCTAAGGAGGTCATTTGCTTGCAACTCAATGACTTCCAGCTGCAGTTCATCTGGGCAACTGGCCACATCTGCTTCAAATGGGTTTTGAAACAATCTCACTTCTTCTGCCTTTGAATCCAAAAAGGTCTCCACGGGCCGGATGAGAGGGCCTCGCGGGCCGCATCCGGCCCCCGGGCCGTAGTTTGGAGACCCCTGGTCTAGCTCATCCCTGACAGGAGTCTGTCCAACCTACTTTTCAATATCTCCACTGACAGAGATTCCACAACCTCCCTAGGCAATTTATCCCAGTACAGAACCACCCTGATGGTTAGGATGTTTTTCCTAAAGTCCGACAGCCAAAGCAGTGTCTTGGTGTAGTACCGCTGCTGCCGAGTTGCATGGCCCTATGCAGAGAGAGGCTCCTGGTTTGAGCTGGGTGGGGAAATGAAGAACGTTCCCCCGCATGGGAAAAAAATGATCAAAACTAAAATGTTTCTTTTTCATCCATTTTTGGGTGAGTTTTCCTAGAAAATGGGTTTTTCTCTGGATACTCAGCTGCCAGGTTGCTGCCTGGCTGCAGCTACCTGCATCCCAAAGGAGGCTTTTCATTTGCCTCCTGCTTGCAACACAAATGAAGGTGGCCCTGATGGAATCTATGGCCACACCCTGAGCATAGGAAGGTCCAACTCTTTGTGCCAGTCTAGGGCTGCATTTCAGGCACAGTGCCTGCAGGTGGGCTGGCGCTGCAGTCAAGTTGCTTAACATCCCTGCCCCTCCACCTGTAAGAGTTGGCCTCCTGCCGTTTGCAATTGGCTGTGATGGGGGTTGAAGCTGGTGCACATGAAGCCAAACAACTGAGACTCCCCAATGGCCAAGTGGCCCCAAGGGAAGGTGCAAACATGCTGCATAAAGACAGTTGCCTCCCTAGCTGAACACACACTGCCTGCTGCCTGTGCAACCTCTCCAGTGACTCTTAGTCTTTTATGGTGAAGGTCTCTGGTGTCAGCAGCTCCTCTTCTCCTAAGAACTGGGTATGTTGGCAGGTTTCACTGTCTTTACAAAGTAACGTGTAGTAGAAAGTCTGTTTCCTTTTTCAGTTGTGCTGCGTAGCAGCAGAGGAATCCGCTGGCCTATCGGGTGACTCAGTGATGGGGCTGGAGGGCAGGCAGTGCTAGGTGGAAGGGAATGTCCACCCATGTTTCACAGTGGGCTGTTCAAGCCGCCCAGAAATGTGACTTTGAAAGGAATCGTGGAGTGTTGAACCATGATGCCCCAAATCAGGATTTCTCGGGGGTCCATTTCCAGAGGTTCAGTTGGCTTTGGGCCTGATCCTGACGGGGACTGATCTAAAGGAGGACACCACGGGATATCAGAGTCTAATCCCCACATGTCCTCAGGTCTATTTGCTCCTGGACATTTAATCAGCAAATGCATTTTCAGTTATTTTATTCTCTGGCTCGATCATGCAGGAAGGAATTCAGGGCAGCGTTGATCTGTGGTAACAGGTCCGACAAGGCATATTTCTGTTTTCTGATTGGTTCCGGGATCCAGCTTTTCTGCCTCATAGATACGCCTCAGCGTTACATGATTCCCAGCATCTCTGCCCCCTCTCTGGTCTCCGAGCACCCCATGTCAAGGCAGGCCTGGCCCTAGGGCAAGATGAGCAAGACAAAATGCTTTAGGCCCTGGGCTTTTCGGGCCCCACACTGCTGAGTATTCACCATCCAGGCCCAGGGCCCCACTCCTAGCATCCTGCCTTGGGCCCCACAAACCTTTTGGCCGGGCCTGGGTCAAGCGGCCTTACCACGATGTGGAGGACTGCGTTGCTCCCACCTCAGACTGGGCTCAGGGCTACCGCACACTGTGGATCGACAGTGTTTGCCCAGCAGTCCAGACTGGTTGCTGGACCTGTGGACCCTTTGAGCAGTGGTGAGACGAGTGACCAGCCAACCAAAATTACTGTTCAACCTGAACACCAGGAATACAGCGCAACATGGGAGAACAAGAGGGTTTACAACAACAGTCTGAATATGTCACTGACCTCAGGCTCTGCCACACTGACAGGGACCCAGGCAGACCAAGGGCCTTCAG